AGGTTCTCTTTTGACTCTTTTGGTGAAGTCTTTTGAAGAGCATAGGTGTTTGATTTTTAGAAGATCCCAGTTATCTAGCTTATCGGGGTTTGTGCGTTGATGGTTATGGTTTGTATCCTGTTAATGCTGTGTATTAAGGACTTAACTTTTTAAAAAAAAAAAAAATTTCAGTTTCCAGTGCATTATACAGATTTAAAATTTAAAAAGTATCTGAAATTTTTTCCAGGTTTTGTTAAACCTTTCTGGACATTCCCATAGTGAGTGTATACTTTGTGTTAAAGAAAACCCAGAAATCTTACATACACGTTTGTGGAGTTTCAGATGTGATTGTCGTTAATAATTATGCAACATAATTATAATTTCAATGGATTTTTTGGAGGTTGGTTTAAGACCTTTTTTTTTAAAAAAAATTAATAAGAGTAATAGTCAAATGTCACTTTGGCTTATTAGAAGGTCATGAATCAGTGGAGGCATTGTCCAGAAATTTAATTCAAAATCCATTGGTAACCCGAGCCAAGTATACAATTAAAGAAAATTATATGATTTGGAAGTTAGAAGCAAGAATGTCTTTTTTTTTTTTTTTTAGTTTTTAGTATATGCAGATATGTTCTCTAATTTACATTTCCTTTTCCTAGAATTGTTCCATGGAAATTGCTTTTCTTTATTTTTTGCACATACTTTCTTTTGTAACTTTCTTTTCTTTCACACTTGTCAGGGCTGCTTTGTGGCCTTTGTCTCTTTTGGATAGAATCATATGCAATGCTGCATGTAAAAGAGTAAACCTAAATTTCTAGTTGAAGGACCAATTGCTTTTGTGAAGTGCCTACTTGGTTCCAAGGACAAGAAGCAAGAAATTATGGTCATTTTTTGCTTGCTCATGTTTGTGGTTGATTTCCTTTCATGGCTATATTAACTGTAACAAAGTTAACCTTTAATTTGTTTGAATTAAGCTTTTGCATCATTGAATTATTATAATTACCAAGTGTTAGAGTTTGCCTGTGTTTGGCAAAATATGGAAAAGAGTGTAGATTTAGAATAAAGAATAAAGGAAAAAAAAACTTAGAAAATCATTCTGGTCTGTTTTACGACTTGGTATTTTAGATAGAAAGAATTGATTTTCCTACAACAAACTTATTTAGATATTTATTTTATTGTGTAATTATTGTGCGGTCTTTGAGGGAAGGAGCATTTCTTGTTCATCTTTTATCTTCCAGAACGTTGTGCTTTGAAAATAAAAAATAAGATAGAAGTAGATGTTGCATTCGTAGCTACC